CCCCGGGGGGGGAAAGAACAAAAAAAAAAAAAAAAAAAAAAAAGGACTTTATTCATTAGATAACAAGGAATTTATCACATATACAGATGATTCTGTACTTAAGGCAAATCCCTATTTTCCTAGTGAAAAAAAATTTTCCAGTCAGGCATGGTGGCATGCACCTATAGTCACAACACAGAGAGATTGCTTGAGCCCAGAAATTCAAGACCAACCTGGGGAACATGGCAAGACCATGCTTCAGAAGAAATATAAATTTTTTATTTTACATTAAGGTATCAATCTGAGTATGATTCTGTACTTAAGGCAAATCCCTATTTTCCTAGTGAAAAAAAATTTTCCAGTCAGGCATGGTGGCATGCACCTATAGTCACAACACAGAGAGATTGCTTGAGCCCAGAAATTCAAGACCAACCTGGGGAACATGGCAAGACCATGCTTCAGAAGAAATATAAATTTTTTATTTTACATTAAGGTATCAATCTGAGTATTTAACCTTTTGGGAATGTTGATCAAATAGTCAGGTATCTATTTATAATATCTAATTTATTTTATTACACATGCTTATTTAAAATAACAGTATTACAATAATACAGTAATACAAAATATTGCTTTTTTCCCATTTGCACATTTCAAGTAACAATTTTATTTAAATTCTCCACAAGCATCTTATGTATCAATGTCTTCATAATATCTACAGCCAGACTTTCTTGAAGTCTAATTTGTTTGAGAGGCAGTACTTTCTTTTTTGGCAAATCTGAGGATTAAACCCAGAGCCTTACACATGCTAGGCAAGCACGATACCACTAAACTACACCCGAAGCCAGAAATGCAGCACTTTCAAATTCTATGCCTGACACTTTCACTGGAAAGCTTGACCCAAATTGTCACATGAGGACCATCTTCCTTCAGCCCGTTTATTGTGCAGGTGTATGTTTCCTTTTTTTTCTTTTTTTGGTTTTTAAGACAGGGTCTCACTATGTAGTTGACACTGACCTGGAACTCACTATGTAGTCCAGGCTGGCTTCGAACTCAGTGATCCTCCTGCCTGAGCCTCCCAAGTATTGGGATTACAGGTGTGCACCACCACGCCTGGCTACCGTGTAGGTATACGTTTCTAATCCTTGCAACAGAACCACATACTTATTGCTTTTGAATTGCTTTTTGAAAGGCTAGTTTGCAAAACCTTACTCGACGTATGAGGGAATATCTTTCTAGAATAATGACTTTTCTTATTCCCTTCTAACTCATTCCAATAGGAGAAACAATAACCATAAAAAACTTGTCTTGCTTTTTAGGCTGGTAGACTACAATGTGTGAGGAGCAGCCAGAGGTAGAATAGTTGCAAGAAATGACAACCAACCAGTTATGGGGGTCACTGGAGAGTAAAATACCAAGAGACCAAAGTTGGAGGCTAGGTTTTGGGCAGATCACCATGGGCAGCAATGTTTCCTGGGGTGGGAATGGAGTGAAGAAAGCTGATGGGAGGGGACAGCCTCCCCAGGTAACAAGGGTTTGAATGAGGATGTGGAGCAAAGTCCTGCACAGGGGCTTGTGGACAAGGCTAACCTGGAGTCCTTGTCTAGTTGGGGAGTCTGGGGGGTGGGAGAGGCCTACATGTGTCAGGGTTGTGAAAAAATGGCACCCCCCCCATATCAAGGATCAAACTCAGAACCTTGCACTTGCCAGGTGGCCACAGTACCACCGAGCTACATCCCTGGCCCCAAGAAATGGTATTCTGAGTTAAAGAGATGTGCAGAATGAGGAGGTCCTGGAGAAAAACTGAGATGGCCGGGAAGGGGGTGGGGGAAAATTCCCTTAAATTGCCCCCAACAGGTTTCTTTCTCTCACAATAATCATCATAATGAGTTGTGATTATGTTTTCAAGACTGCAAGGAAAACAGGTAGTATGTCCGCCCTGGACACTGCTGTATTCCCTAGCAGCTAGAACAGGCATATAACAGGTCTTGGGAAACAGGTGCAGGAAGAGGGACCTGAGAGCAAGAAGGAGGAAAAGAAGAAAAGGAAGATGTATCAAGAGCATCCTATGGGAGGGACTTGGAAAGGTGATCAGCAAAGGAGAAATAGGTCAAGAAAGGCATGGTCAGAATCTCACAGGGCAAGTGTCATCAAGGATTTGGGAGGCAAATGGAGGAAATGGACCAGGCAGGATCTGTGCAAAGGGTTTCACAGGGACCCTGGGTATTATCCCAACAGCCTGAAGCCTCGGTCCTGGAAGAATATTCCACGGACCCTGTCTGCAGCAAAGGCTGGGAAAATAACAAGTACTGATGACTACAGCATCAACATCATCATCTGGGAATTTGTTAGAAATGCAAATTCTGACACCACCCCGGATTTACTAAATCAGGAACTCTGTTTTAACAAGTTTTTCAGGAGATCCAGATGTGTATGAAAGTTAAAAGAACTATTGCTTGAAGATAAAGGATAGGGTGTTTTACATTTTAAAGCCAGAACCCACTAATTTTTTCTTAAGCCTCTAACCTCTGCTGTATTAGTCTGTGGTAAATACTGACCAGTATGGCAAAATAAAAGAAAGATGAACAAACATTACAGTCTGACACAACAGTGGGTGAGCAGCAGCCTTGCTGCTTGGGTTTGATTCTTAGCTATGAGATCCTAGAAAAATTCCTTTATTTGGCAAGCCTCAGCATCCTCATTTATGATAGAAAAAAACAAGCATTTAACCTTGTAAGAATGTTATATGGATCAGATAAGATAGTACTCAATTATGCTGGCTATTATTATTAAAGTACAACTTACAAGAAGCTCATCACTTAATGGAATTAGCTTAAAACCTTAAGGCCATGATCTCATATCACATGCACATAACCTCATATTATTTTCCTTGCTCTGAGAATTAACATGCACCAAAACTCTGCAGAGAGCTAAGATTGATCCTGCGAACTTTTCTATACTTTGTCTTATTCAGAGACTCACTTTGATGGTCTGACATCAAGATGTTGACACTTTCATCAACACCTAAGTGTAAATAAATGGAATGCCACAGCAACTAGTCCTTGCGGAAGGTTGAGGCTGAGAGGGTGAAGAGGGTAATGCTCCCTCAGTTCCTCTGTCCCACTCTCTCCAAACTACATTCTCCCTATTAGCTCAGCCAAGAGCCAGCTGATTTTCAGTTGCCATGAGGAAGAGGTGTAAAAAGGTTACATCATGCGTTCAAAAGGCCATCCCAAATAAAAAATACCAGAACATATTTTATTAATTTTTCAGTGTTTTTGAACTTGGAATTTCATGCATCCTACACATGTACTCTCCCACTGACATGTCCAGCCCAGCACATATTTTAGATGTAATTTCTAATTTCCAGCTCCTCCTCAGTAGCTCTAAGAGGCCTGGAAGTTTTATTCCGTGTCCCTGTACTGTAAATAATGCTTGACACGCACAGGGTGTACATTTATTAAACCAATAGTTCTGTAATTAAAGGAACAATGGCTGCTCCTTGGTAAGAGAAGCAAAGCTAAAATCTGGCTGGATGTGTTGGTAGCCTTGGTGAGCTTCTGGGCTTTGACCCACCATTTGGAGCTATGTTTCTCTGAAGAGCTAAGTGCTGGCCAGGAGTTTCAGCTAAGAGCCTGTTGTATGGCATGAAGAGTTCCTATGATGATACAGAGAACAGTTTAGGGTCATTCAGAGATAAGATGAAGGTCACATTCACAAATGAGGACTTAGAAATCTAAAGCCTGGGGAAATGCCACAATCGGCACAATCTTCATGTCTCACTTGCTCCTTCCTAAATCTCAGTTCCTTTGCAGGTTACCTGCCCACCCACCATAGACAGACTGGGCAAAAAGGACCCACATGTTCCATCCTGGGCTCATACCCTGTGCTCAGGGAAACTTCAGGGCCCAGTCCTACAGATGCCTCAGTGGTGCCCAGGGGTTGTGGATGTACCATCATCCCTAAGCAAGAGGCTCGCTGACTCCAGGTAAGTTCTGTGGCATCCTGACTGCACCAGAGGCAGGTAGTTTGAAAGCAACAGACTGAAAAAATACTTGTTTGCATAAAATAATCACAAGAATATTTGCTTTCCCCTGTGCCAGGTAAGTAGATAGTAGAAACCGTCCCTGAACATGAATATCCTCAGGGTCTCTGCTAACACCAGTCCCCTCCAATGCCCTTCCTTGGCATCCCCACCTGTCCAGAATCCACAGTATTCCTTTCCCTGCTCAAGCAGAGAGAGGTTTCTTCAGTACTCACCTCAAAGGGACTTAGAAATTTACTGTAGTGTGAGTACCTCCCAACCCCACCACCAAGTTTGTAATTTTGAAGGATTTACTGAGGTTTACTCCATACTTTATGCCTCCAGCCAAAGGCCAGAGATCTAGCTTAATACACAGAAGTGATTAGCATTTATAGATTTTATAACAGTTAACCCCTCTTCCCATTTTAAACATTAGTTACTCAGTAACAGATATTCCATTTCTGGGTTTATTATCCTGCTAAGAGTAGGGATCATATTTATCCTTCAGTAGAATGTGGTAAGCATAAAGACCTGAATAATTCCTCACTACAAAAAGGAGGGTTTTCTCTCCCTCCTCATTTCCTATATTAGAAGTTGACCCCAAGAAACCCTGAGCTATATTCTCAGGCTCCCCCCCACCCTCTGGCTTATTTTTTTTTGGTACCGGGGATTGAAGTTGGGTCCTTTGTGCTTGTGAGGCAGGCAGCAGAACAGCTGAGCTAAATCCCCGGCCCTTTTCTTAAAAATTTAAGACAGGGTCTCAATAAGTTCCCTAAGATGACCTTGAACTGACATCCTGCCTCAGCCTTCTGAATACCTGGAGGGAGTGCATTTTAGTTCCATTAGGGTAGGGTTCCATTTTGAGGGAACACACAAAATGACTAAAGATTTAGCACTGGAGAAAAATTCTTCTCCAGAATTCAGCAGTATTTTGCACAAGTGTTGAGCATATAAAATCACTAGGAATCAGAGTAGTGTGGCAGCCCTTTAGTCAAGGTCCTTTTGATTCCATGTAATAAAAATTCACTTCAGGCTGATTTTTTAAAAATAAAAATTCATTCTATGAATACGAGGGATGAGTGATGGCCAAGCCAAGGATGCAGGACTGGCTGCCAAGACCAAGGGAGTCCTCAGGGTTACCAAGGCAGCAGTTCTCTCATGCTTGTCCACACAGTGCCAGCTCCTGCCTCTGTGAGTGGCCCATCCAAGGCATCATCCCAAACTGTGACTAGTAGCTTTTCATCCTCATGCAAAATTCTCAAGTTAAAGAACTGCCTTGAGCCTTTTTAGATCAGTTCTACCTTGGTCCAATCAACTGGAAGGTAGGGGAGATAGTAAGAGAAAAAAGATCACTGTGCACAAATATGGCCTTCACTCCTGTAGGAGTAGGTGGGAGGAATTATTTTTGAGTCAGGCAAATCCCCAAACTGTGTTGTTAAGAGAAATCAGCTGTATCAGCAAGTGCTTAGCTCTTAGTACTTAAACAATGAAGTTTATAATTTTCTACAATTCAGAATGACCTTCCCCTCCAAATTTCTATTGAACTAGTCAAAGCTCTAGTTTACATTTACATTTACATTTCCACAAAGCTCTGCTGAATATTGAAACCCAAAGAGAAAGAGCTACAAAAATTTGCTCCCTGGTTTATTGCTCATCACTGGATTTGGTTGACATTTGCTTTATACTCATCAAATCTTACAAGAGTGACAAAGACACTCCAAGTTACAAAAGGTATCACTTTCTCACTAATATTTTACTTTTTAAATAATTTATGTTGATGTCAATGATCTGATAAGGATGGAAAGTTTTCATATGATTCCTTGACCTTATAAAGAACTCACCAGAGCATCACATTTTGTGGGTACACTACATGGCACCTGGAACATGAGTGCTCAATCCACTTCCAGTTTTAAAATGAGTACAAGGATCTAGTTTAGATCATATATTAAATCTGACTAATAATTTCAGGCCACACTGCTTTTATGTCTCACAACAGGTCATACCAGACCACGTCTCAAACTTGTTATTTTCTAAGAGATTACAACTACTGGTATCTGTAACTCAGAAGCACAAAATGTATGCTCAGAAATGAATAGAAATTATCTCAACAGAAACCACTAGTTTAAACAGCCTAGAGTCTTACAGAAATTGTTACTTCAAAACATGCAGAGGCAGCAAGACTCACCTAAAACCACATTTTATTCTAAACCTTTATATTGCTTTTCTCTTAAAGTCTGAAACAATATGAAATGGATGGAAATATTTTGTTAAAAGAAAATGAGTTAATATATAT